CATTTCCTTAGTGGTTGTTTCTTTAGAGTTAAGGCATGTAGAGTAAAAACTTTCCATACATTCTCTAGGTGCTTGTTTCTTCATAAACTTAGACATATGAGCTTGATTAAGTTTGAGGATGTCAGGTTGAACTTCAGAATATTAAACATGCACATGTATTTGTTTGGTCCTCAAATGAAAAGACGATGTATTAGATGATGAAAAATGATGTGGCACGTGGACCAATAAGAAGAGAGATCGGTTAACCAACCCATTTTCTTAAGAGTAATTAATACTCAGTATTAGTTTATAGCTCCGCCAAAGATATGGCTCGGTCATATCTTTTGATCTGATCCGAGCTATACCATATCACCACGTGTAACAGCTCTTTAACTGCTATTCAACTCTCAACTCGCCACTATCGTTGAATTCACTCCGTGATTTATGCATCATGCTAAGTGGCTGACTAAGTAGGACTCGCTTCTAAGCGACTATAATATGAGGATTCACTCCTTATGCAGGTATATACAATTCTGATTAGCTCATCTTGAGAGCAATATATATACCTCGAATATTGAGATTGACTTTAGCGTCGAAGTGTCTGCTCTTTCTGCCCAGTGCCTTCCTTCGCACACCCGCACACCTCCTTCCATTATAGTTCGGCCATACTCCCTCATAGATCAATCATGCTCTCTCATAGATGAATTTCCATTTTTTAACTATTATCCAAAGCTAATAAACCCTTGTCTGTCTAACTAATTTTCTCACTAACTTATTTGTCTACCTCTTTTCTTTTACTAGCTTATTTTTTCTCAGATCTCTTTTTATACACACCCTCTAACTAGTCTCTCTTTATATACCATTTCTCTTTTATTATATTAATCTTTCTTCACAAACATGCTTTCTCTCTCTCTATATATATACCTTTTCTTACTAATTATCTCTATATCTCCTCACAAATTCTCTTTAGTTAGTTTTTCTCTAACTTTTCTCTTTTCTTGATTGCAAAACATTCCGTACAAAAAAGGATGAAATTGAAACTTCTAAAAAACTAGGAGAACAAAATTAAACAACGTCACAAATATTAGAGACAAAATTACCCATTAAAAAATGTCTATATACTTTGTGTTTTAATAACTCGTTTTCTACACATTTATAGATTGATTTAGGTTAAGGAAAGGTGTATATTATTATTGAAGCCACTCTTTTTGGAAAGTTGTGATTCTTATATAGTACAAGATTCCCCTTTGGATTATTTGGCCAAAGCTTTTAGCTTTACAATATGGCCTTTAGTTTGTGTGGCAATAGTTTGGGACACCTCTTAAATGGTTTTGACCATTGGCAACACTTGGACAAAATTTTTTAATTGCAATTGGATTATCATTTTCATATATATTCTTTGGATTTTGACCTACATTTTCCATACTCATCTCATTATTGGTTTATAATTCTATAGATATGTCCTTTGTGTATTATCCAAAACCTTCGTTCTTATTTATTTTTTATAAGAAAAAAAAATCTTAATGTTTGTATAATATATATTTAAAATCTTAGTCAAATCATGACAACTAAAGAGGTTAGTTTTCCTATAAACTAAATTTTTGGTTTAAAAAGTTTTAGAAGAAAATATATATAATAATTTGATTTGTAGACATGAAAAGCATAAGAACTCGACCATAATTCCTCTCGAATCAGAAGAAAAAAAGGGGTAGTTCCTGTAATTTGTTGAACTATTACGATTGTGTCTATATACATCTCAAACAATATTAATTAGAAGTTTYGACTACGTTTATTCTAGATTTGTATAATGATTCTAGGTTGTTCTTAACGTAAATAGTTAAATTATTATGTGGAGCGTATACAATGAATCAAAAATATTGACTGCTTTGACATAACATGGCAAGTCGATATCAGACGAGTCCGCCCGAGAAATAAAACAAAAACGTGAGAAGATAAGAATTAAAAATGGAGGCAGAAAGCCAACTTTTGTTGAGTTTCTACACACATGAGATCTCATGGCTTCCCTTACCCCTTCCCATCAAACTAATAGCAAAATCCCACCACATGCACAATATATAAATCAAAGCCAATGCTTTCAATTTTATTCTCAATCTCTGTGA